GGCTCACCGAAACCTCCACCTCCTGGGTTCAAGCAATTCTCCTGCCCCAGCCTCCCGAGTAGCTGGGATTACAGACATGTGCCACCAGACCAAGCAAATTTTTGTATTGGGTCTAGCATTTTAGAGTAGAAGAACAGAAACCAAATGGGGAAACGACTGAGAAGCACCATTTTTCAGGTTGGGGATGAGTCCTAGTACTTGTCCTAAGGGTGTTCAGGAGTACTGTGTAGGAGACAGATACCTAGATCATTGATACTACATTGTAAAAATTACGGCCACAGAGCTGGTTGTGGTGGCTCATGCCTGTAATTCCAGCTATTCAGGAGGCTGAGGTGGGAGGATTGCTTGAGGCAAGGAGTTTGAGACCAGCCTGGGCAACATAGTGAGACCTCCTCTCCAAAAAACATAAATATAATTTAAAAATAAAATAGGCCATAGAGAGGGAAAAGTGCTAGAAAACCTTGGTTAATTCTAGAAATGCATTAAGAGTAAGAGCTAGTGATCTTAGCAAAATCGAGGTCTTGAGCAGGTGGGCAGAAAGGTTGGCATCGTGCAGGAGGAAGCTGTCTTAGGGTCAGTACATGAATTGTTTTCACCGCCTTAAAAGGGCATTGCAGAAGGTATCACAAGAGTATTTTAGGAAGATGGTGGTGAAAGGTTAGTTTTTAGTACTTGCACTCAGTTCTTAAGGGAGAAGTAGGTCAGTGTTCAAAGAAACAATATTGAATTTAGCATTAGAAACTTCCCAGATAGGCTCTTGTTCTTCCACATTTCATGTTTTTGCGGGGCCAAGATGAATAGCCATGGGAATGAGACAGGAGTAAAGAAATCTGGCAACAGTGGTTCACGCCTATAGTGGGAGGCTAGATGGGAAGATCACTTGAGCGCAGGTGTTGGAGACCATCCTGGGCAGCATAGTGAGATCTCGTCTCTACAAAAGTAAAAAATAGCCAGGCACAGTGGTATGCGCTGTAGTTCCAGCTACAAAGAGATAAAAAGGAGTAAGGGAGATGACTAAAGGGGAAGGCTGTGTCATGAATTACTTACTCTTGCATGTCCTATCTCAGACCTTTTAAAAGATTTTTCTTTTCCTTTTTTTTTTTTTTCCCCTGTGACAGAGTCTAGCTCTGTCACCTAGGCTGGAGTGCAGTGGCATGATCACAGCTCGCTGTAACTTCTGCCTCCCAGGCTGAAGCAAATCTTGTGCCTCAACAACCCCAGTAGCTGGGATTACAGGTGTGCGCCACCACACCCAGCTAATTTTGGTGGTTTTTTTGTAGAGATGGAGTTTCGCCATGCTGCCTAGGCTGGTCTTGAACTCCTGAACTCAAGTGATCCTCCTGACACAGTCTCCCAAAGTGCTTGGATTACAGGTGTGAGCCACTGTATTTGGCCAGATTTTTTTTAATTGATATGAAATTCACGTGACAAAATTATTTTTAAATGAACAGTTGAGTGGCATTTACTGCATTCACAATGCGTACCCTCATGACCTATGTCTAGTCCCAAAATAAACCTAGTACCCATTAAGCTGTTATTCTCCTTGCCCCCCTTCTCCCAGCCCCTTGGAACCACCAATCTGCTTTCTGTCTCTAGACTTGCTTACTTTGGTTATTACATATAGATGGAATCATAGAATATGTGACCTTTCATGTCTGGCTTCTTTCACTTAGTGCTTAGTGTTTTGAGATTAATCTACATTGTATTGTGTATGCGTACTTCATTCCTTTTTATGGCCGAATATTGTTGTGTGTGTGGGTACACACACACACACACACACACACACACTCTATAATCTGTTTATCCGTTCATCTGTGGATGGACATTTGGGTTGTTTCTGCCTTTTGGCTGTTTTGTATAGTGCTGCTATAAACGTGTGTGCATCTATTTGTTTAGATACCTGTTTTCACTTATTTTGAGTATATACCTAGGAGTGGAGTTGCTGGATCGTGGCAATTCTGTATTCAACTTTTTGAAGAACCACCAGACTTTTTCACAGTGGCTGAATATTTTCTATTCCCACCTGTTGCCCAGGTTGGAGTGCAGTGGCGTGATCTCAGCTCACTGCAACCTCCACTACCCTGGGCTTGAGCGACTCTCCCACCTCAGTCTACCGAGTAGTGGGGCCTATAGCCATATGCCACCATGCCCAGCTAATTTTTGTATTTTTAGTAGAGACTGGGTTTTGCCACGTTGGCCAGGCTAGTCTCTTGACCTCAAGTGATCCACCCACCTGAACCTCCCAAAGTGGTAGGATTATAGGGATGAGGCACCACCCCTAACTTTTTTTTTTTTAAGAGACAGCGTCTTGTTCTGTCAGCCACTGCGGTAGTGCAGTCAGAGCTCACAGTAACCTTGAGCTCCTGGGTTCAGGTGAGATTACAGGTGCTAGCCACAGTGCCTGATCTGAGTTCGTTCTTTGTTGTACATTCCATGGGTTTTGATAAATGCATAATGTCTTGCACTGCTATTACAGTATTATACAGAATAGTTTCACTATCCCAGGAGTCACCTGTGCTATCCCCATATCCTTCCCGCTCTTCCCTGGATCCTTTGTAATCATTGATCTTCCTACTGACTCTACAGTTTTGCTTTTTCCAAAATATTATATAACTGAAGTCATGTAGTCATGTACCGTCTTCAGATTCATGTCTTTCACTTAGCAATAAGCATTTAAGATTCCTTAATGTCTTTTTGTTGTTTTTTTTTTTGGAGACAGAGTCT